AAGCTCCAGCTACTCTCTGGAGTGTAAAAAAAAAAAAAAAAGGTATTAGTGATAACTCCAGGAAGACCTGCACGATGGTACAAAAAGAAAAGAACTGCATTAGGCCAAGTTCTTCCAAGGCTCTGTCCTAGAGAAAGGCCCCTGGCTGGCATCCAGAGATACTCACGTGCTTGGAAAGCCATGCAGAATGGATCTCGAATCTGAGTACATTCTACCCAGAATAAAACAAAACATTTTTTGTGTAGTCACTTAAAACAGTGTGTCTTTAAAAATAGGCATCACACTTGTTCTTATATAGCTGCATTATTTAGCTAAATATACATGAAACAACTGACACTAAAATCCAAAAGATACATACAGCAGATTGCAGTGAAAACCTACGGTTGTATTTAGTTACCTACATATTTTAATTTGGTTTTGCAACCAAAGCCAACAGTATTCAGGGTTGGATAATTGTGCTTTCTCGTTCCTAAAAAATGTCAACACCAAAGTATGTTCTGGAAAATGCTTTCTCTTTAAATATTTCTTCTTTATTTTTTCCTATATATTTCTTTATACGGAGAAGGTTCACAGAAATTTTTTAATGTGCTGTATTTATAGTTCTCATTTCTAAGTTTAAAACACATCATAGTGCATCTTAAAATGTCTCTAGCCAATGTGGTATAAATCTGGGTTATAAAACAATAAATAAATAATAGCCAACATTTAGGACCCACTAGGTGACAGTCACACACATATTCCCTCATTTAATCATCAGACTGTCACAGAAATTAACTAAGTTCCATTATTATCCAAATCTTAGAGATGAGTAATCCGAATCACAGAGAGGTTAAAGAGCCTGCCCTGCAGCACACAGCCCTCAGGGGCAGAGCTGGAATTCAACACCAGGCTGGCTCCAAAGTCCACGCTCTTGAATTAAAATTTACCAATAAAGATAAGAGGGAGAGAGGCAGAAGGAAGGAGAGAGGAAGAGAGGGAATGAAAGCTTTAAAAAACTGAGCCCCCCGCCCCCCGAAAGGGGGAGCTAAGTTTGCCTTTATAATGCAATGGGAAAATTTAAAGAAATGCTTTTGAGGAATTGAAGTCCTTTTGACAACTGGAACAGGTTTTTGTGTTGTTCTTGTTTTTTGGAAGGAAGGAGGAGAGAGGGGGTTTGATGCCAAATGAACTTCACTCTGACCTTGGTGGAGGAGACATGACTGCAGATTCAGTCCATCTGTGCCAGCTCTCAAGGCCTCCCTTCCCAGGGATGTACCCATCTGCCCCAGCATCCCGAACCTTTCAAACACTGCTCCTCCCTGCTTAGACTTAAGAAGATGTCAGGGGATAAGACACCTGAAACCTAAAATACAGGTGTAGTGATGCATGGTCATTTGGCAAGGGTGAGTGTGCTCAGCTCTGTGCCAAGTAATGGAGCCTGCCTCTTGCCAGCAGCCCAGACACTCAGCAAACAGACGACATGGCAGAAGCAGGGGCACAGAAGCAGAATGGATCTGTCCAGCAGAGGAGAAACCATCCAGACATCCATGGGAATAATACAGAAGATAGGGAGAAGAGACGACCACTGATGGTGGCACAGGATGGTTGTAACTCAACAGTGATGTGGACCATGTTATCTGGGAACAGAAATATCACATAATGAGACGTAACTCAGTGGAGACTCAGAGGTGTAGCCCACAAAAATAAGCAGAGATGCATCATTATTTTCTGGACTTAGGCAGAGCTGACATGAAGGCCATCAGCAACCTCAGCATCGATGCCTGAGAGTTTCGTGGTTTGAAGGAGCTGAGGGTTTGTTCTGTTTTCTTTTCTTTCTTTTATTTTTCTTCTTTGTTATATTGGGCTCCTTTGGGTAACTCCTCTGGTGTGTAGAGAGTAGAAACAGAGCCCTGGCTGGTTTTGCTCAGTGGATAGAGCATCAACCTGTGGACTGAAGGGTCCTGGATTCAATTCCAGTTAAGGGTACATGCCTGAGGACTCCATCCTCAGTGGGGGGCGTACAGGAGGCAGCTGGTCAATAATTCTCTCTCATCATTGATGTTTCTATCTCTCTCTCTTCCTTCTTCTCTGAAATCTATATATATATTTAAAGATTAAAAAAAGGAAAGAAAAGAAACAGACTCATTGGGATGTATGGCCCTATTTGGTACCTTTTACACCTACCTTGGTGCATCTGTTTTCAAATAAAGTTTGTAAAATAAAGCTTCCCAATAAATTATGACCTTGAACTTCTAGATAGAGTTATGTTGTTTTTCATTGTGATAAGTGGGTCAAAATGTTGAATATAGTACTAATAATTAATCTAGTCAGCATTTAGAGAAGGTTTACTTTGTGGCTTTCAGCCATGACCTAAGTGCATATATATTAATCTTCTCAACAACCTGAGGGAAGTGCTGCTGCCCCCACTTTACAGAATGACTTGAAGAGGTTGCAAGACCAGGAAGAGGCAGAGCCAGGACTCCACCCCAGGTGTGTATGGTTCCAAAGCCAACGCTCATAAAAGATGTGGCCTTAAGAAGTGCCATCAGGAATCTTTAAACACGAACACTTCGACCAGCAGTCCTGAGGCCTGCCCTCAGCACATCCACGACGAGACGGACACACCGGCCAGCGTGGAACAATCGGAAGTAGAGGACAGTGTGACAACAGAAATAGTACAGGAGCACTGGATGGATCTGAGAAGAGTTAGGTTTGGGGCCTGACTCTGCTTCCACTTCTCCGTTCCACTGGGCATGTTTGAAGTCCTCTTGGTCTCAGCTCCTGAATCTCTACAAAATAGTCATTCGGAGCCCTGCCCTATCAGCCCCCCTATTGGATAACCTCTTTCTATGATATACTCTTACATTGTAACTTTGGTTTACACAGCGTTGGCCACTGACATGGAGGTCGGTGTCTTCCCTTTATCGCGCCCTACCGTCACACAGCAGCAACGTACAGTAGGTGCTGCCATAGCAACATTCTCTAAATGCTAACAATTGTGCAAGATGAGCCTGAGCAAAATGACCGTGAATGCATGAAAGCCCAGATCAATGATGAGAGAGAATTATTGATCAGCTGCCTCCTGCACGCCCCCCATTGAGGATGGAGCCCACAACCCAGGCATGTACCCTTGACTGGAATCGAATCCAGGGGCAGAGACAGAAAAGGAATCGGTGATTCCAGCAGTGCTCTGTGTCACTTACAAAGGGCAGAAAGGGATGGAAATGCCCTTATTTTCTTCATGCCTGTTGTTGAGATTGGCATGTGGTGCATGAAGGAAAACCAAATCCTACCGGCCTCTGGCTGCATCACTACACAGCATGTGAATATTGCATATATCTTGAAGGTATTCAAAAATGCTTTCAACCTAACAAAATTCCACTTTTGCCTCCAGTTTCAAAATGATGCTGCCTTTCTTCCCAGAAAGCTACAAAGTCAGAATTCTTACTAGGTCTTGTGGCTCCATATCTTTTTTTTTTAAGATGAAAAGGGAGAAGTGCCTAACATCTAAAACTAATTTTTAAGTGTTTTATTTTTGTGGCTCCATGTCCTTTGAAATTTATCCACTGAGCCAAACCGGTTTCGGCCATATCTTTTTTTTTAAGATGAAAAGAGAGAAGTGACTAACATCTAAAACTAATTTTTAAATGTTTAATTTTTGTGGCTCCATGTCGTTTGAAATTACATTTAAAATTGGTTTCAAAATCTGCTTTTAGTTCCAGATTCATACCAATGTAATTTGAATTTTCAAGGATGCAACGCTTGGAATTAGATACTACTGAGAATTTGATAAAGCCATAGCTCTTCTCCCCCAGTAAAGGCCACACACACACACACACACACACACACACACACACACACTCATACACACATATACACACACATAGCCCTGACTGTACAGGAGGTTGTAGATCCTCTGAAGCCCATCCATGGGCCCTTCAAAGTTTATAGACCCCACGATAAGGACGCACAGAGCTCAATATCATGCTTGGTCAAGGGTGAAGTGGGGACTGAACTCCATCCTCTGTACCATTCACTAAGCCTGCGGTTCTCAACCTGTGGGTCGCGACCCCTTTGGGGGGTCAAACGACCCTTTCACAGGGGTCGCCTAAGACCATCGGAAAACACATATATAATTACATATTGTTTTTGTGATTAATCACTATGCTTTAATTATGTTCAATTTGTAACAATGAAATTGGGGGTCACCACAACATGAGGAACAGTATTAAAGGGTCGCGGCATTAGGAAGGTTGAGAACCACTGCACCAAGCCATGCTGGATCCACCCGGAGGGAGCATTGTTTTCTAATTTGTGCAAAGGTACCTCATAGTCAGAATGGTACTTGGACAGATCACACCAGATGTCAAGCTAAGTCCACTCTGTATGTCTCCCAACCTCATGTTCAGGGACAGTCACAGTGGGACCTTGAAATCGGCCTGGTGAGCGTATTGACACCAAGGAAATTAGCAAACACTACAAGAATGGCAGTCCTCAAAAGGAGAGCCAGTTGTTGAACATTGCCATTGCAATCGTCACACATGGGCTCGTGAAGACCCTGAGGACCTCTGTCCTGTATTGTGATATATTTGAAATAAAAAATCAGAAGGCAGTTTTAAGACCTACATCCCAATTCGTTTCAGCCTGCCCTAACTGCTGTTAGGCCAAAGGCATGAGGGCCCAACTTGTTTTGAGCACAGAATTAACAACTACAGATGCTAGAGAAGGTATTTGGAGAGGGAGGGCTGCTAGAAAAATTGGTTCCCATTGGATCCCAGATGGGCCTAAAGATAACATCCCAAGCTAAAACCCTATGTTTCAAAACATCTGCATCCCTGATAGAGGTAACTGCCATGAGAACCATTAAGAAAATGAATAAATGACAGTTGCATATAATTTGTAAGATAGGAATTAGAAGGAAGAACTCTGGGAGAAAGGAAACGTAACGTCCCCACACTCCTTGAGATGCTGAGGAGGGAGAAGGCCGTGCCTGTAGCGGGCATGACTCCTTGGGGACGGACCTCAGGTTCCTTCTGCAGGCTTTTTGAAGAGCTGCTCTTTACAACTGAACTCTGTCTTGAGCTGAGACAGCCTTCCTCTGAGGAAGGGGAAAAAAAGGAAGTCACATCAAATCACTGATTCCAGTTTTGAATTACAGAGGGCTATTGATTTTTCATTAAGGTCCCTGTGCTGCTCTCAAGAGGAGGGAGAGAGAGGAGAACATAATTCATTGATCAGAGCGCAGGGCCATGTTCCTTTATTGGCTTCCTGCCATGTCCCATTATTCCCGATTCTAAATGTATATTGAAGTCAGTTTATTTTCATCATTGCCTCCTGTCACCAAAATGTCTCCCAGTAACTATTAGTTTAATCATCCCTTTCTCACAATGGTAATGAGTGATAATAGCCAACAGGATCCTGGACCCGTGGATATTATTCTTTGGATCACAGTGTTGCTCCTCCCAAGGCTCTAGTTAAGAATCTGTCAACACTTGAACAGCCTAAAAGACAGGAATAGTGTGAGGATTTAAAATACATATATTTAAATTTAGAAAAACAACTATCATTTTTATTTTAGTTTTACGTATTTAAAAAACAACACACTTTACTAGAAGATCTATGATTTTTGATCTATGAACCTTAGAGAGTTTGGGAATTGTATATCTATACCAAACCAATGGAATCCAACCTTGTGAACCACCAAGCAAATGCAGAATAAACCAGGCATTCCACTTTGCCCCCCAATTTTGTTTGTGGAAACAATCTTTAATCTGTACTGTCTTAAGTCACACTTGAAACTCTGTTTTCCACGGTAGCAAACTGAGGTCCAGAAACACTGAACTACTCAGGATCACACGATAAAGTGGCACATGGAGATGAGAACCACGTTCCCTGGCTTCCAGATGGCTATTTGTTCCACTACACCCGTGATCGGCAAACTGCGGCGCGCGAGCCACATGCGGCTCTTTGGCCCCTTGAGTGTGGCTCTTCCTAAGCCTTAGGAGTACCCTAATTAAGTTAATAACA